TTGACGGCTGGTAAGAGAAGAGGTGACACTTCATGGTCATGTACAGTGAAACCAAACTGCTGAGAGCAAGAAATCAGTAGCACTAAAGAATGCTCAGGTGGCTTAGCAAAATAAAACGGTGCATCATCAAAGAGCAATACCAATAGGAAGCTACAGAAATGGGCACCCGGGTTTTACTGATTTGAGTGATTTTGTTAAACAGCACTAGTAACGTAACTACCAGCATTCATGAAAGAGCCCAAAGCCAAAGATGCATTACAGCTAGGCCTTAGTGAAATGCAAGTGAATTAAATCATTATCTGTAATAAAGGCAGAGATACTGAAACAGGTATTTTAGCGTTTTTGCAGTACTTGAGCAATTAGAACTTATTGGAAAACCACAGGAAGAAACACACTTCTCCTCATGAGATGGGGACTGGGACCTGCCGCGTTCTGTGGCTGATTGACAGGAAGCTGATTAGTGCTGCTTCAGCAGCATGCCCGCCGTTCCTCACGGGTGGAGGAGTAGCTGCAGATGTGTTGTCCTTCGATTTTGAGGTACTGAAAATTAAACATCTTAAATTAGAAGATGATCGCAAAGTGCCCAGATCAGCTGCACCCGTTTGGGCTGACATTATGAACTGTGTTATAGATCTGACCCTCAAATGCTTCCACAAACTCCTGCACTGACTGGTGCTTCCTCACAGACCTACCACTGCTACAGCTCTTCAAATCGGTGGCAAGTCGGCTTTAGGCAAGCCTGTATAAAAGATTAATTACCAAAATCAAATCGGGAATCCACTTAGTTCTGCAACATCACAGTACGTGTCTGAATGCAACACCCAGGAGCACAGTCTCCATGCTAAAGCACTCCCAGTGCGTCTGCAGATCCTTTATACCTGGATCCATACCTTTGGACCTTTATAACCTGGAGTTAAACTTTTACCTTGCTGGGGCACCAGAACTTGTCTCAAGGGAGCAACGCCTGCAAAACCTTTGAGATTCAGATTAGGGAAGTCAGCTCTTCCTGGTCCTTAGCTATGAAGCACTGTGAGGAAACACAGCACTTGAGCGCAAACCAGCTGAGGGGGTACTGGGCAGCGCCCCCTCCTCCTGCTCACGCTTGCAGTCCTCACTCATTTCTCTTGTCTTTTGCAGCACTTTACTCATCTCAAAAGGACCGACTTCCAAGCACTTTTACTGGCACACTGCAACCCTAGTTTCTCCAGATGCCATTAGTAAATTGCAAGCACTTGAACCCAGGGCCTGTGCAGATTTTAAACGCAGCTTTTAGATGCTTGAGGTTTCATTTTTGCTGCCTCTGCCACAAAATCTGCAGGGGATTTCTGAACGAGCTGTTTCTGTAACAACAGCACCAGGGAACCAAAGATGTGTGTAAAAAAAGTCAGTGCTGCCTCGCTCCACAGTGGTGTTTTACCATGAGATGCTGTGCGAGAGGTCGATGCTTGGAGAGCGCTACAGGCCTTTACATGTGGTTTCTTCCCTCTCTCGTACCACTGAAAGCAAAGCGCTGCTTTCACCATACATGAAAGGGAAAGTCAAGGCTACTGCAAAGAGTCCATGTATACTAATACTGGGGACATGATTGCACAGTTTCAATAGTAATTAAGTACCAAAAAGCCTGTTGGTAATACACGCTTCTCCTAAAGAAACTAATAGTAAAATATGACAGATCAACTTCCTGTTTTCTAGCAAGCCTGGTCATCACTAACACTTGCTACAGACAGAAGAGACATACCCAGATAACATGTACGAGAAACAACAAGTAAGACCAACAGGTTTCTAGTATTGCCACTGGTAGGGTTTTGTTCTTTCAGCAGCAAACTGATAGCCACTGTGTGGACACCTCTAGAGTGTAACTTGGAAAGGCCAGCATGGGTAGCAGAAGTACAGTCTTGTCTTAGTAATTTTGCATCATTTTTTCCCCCCAAGAATTCTCTTTTATTAGAAAATCAATTCTGGAACATAAAGAACAATATATGTTATTTTAGAGGAACAATATGCGTGGCAGAGAGCTCCTGCATAGGGCTTCTACCCACACCTGAAAAGTCTTTACACTTCTGCCAGTTAGAGGAGGTGCCTCGTGAGGGACATACAGTTGACACATCAGTTTGCTGCTGCAGCAGCCTGCTAAGCCCCTGCCAGCAGAAGCCATGCCTCTTACCTTCCATCCTCATTTCCTTGACTTTGTAACTGTTCTGCTGTGCCAGCAGAGAGAGCAAAACCAGCACCCACTGGGCTTGTTTCAGCCACAGAAGCTTGGGAGTGCTGCTCCGCTCCCGGCTGAGCCAGCACGCCAGCCTCGGTGGGTGGAAGTGGTGGCTGGAAAGCTGGGGATGTGTGCTTTCTATTTATAGTGCCACATCTCCGAGGGTTCGCTTGGAAGTCCATAACCTTCACACCAAAGCTACAGAAAGAAGAGAGAGTAAACACACCACGCCAGCCACACCAGGTAACTAAAGCAACAGGACAACTGGATGTTACAACCCACAAAGACAAACGCAACCCCCGTTGCTTGGCATGCAAAGCAGCAACAAGGAAAGCTGTAACTTTCTGCATAGAACACCATTAATGTTAAGACATGCAACACTATTTGGCTTCTCCACACAGAAGGGTAAGCTAAACATAAGTGGAACAAACTACTCAACTACATTTGAAGACAGACACTGATGACAATGAGGTCAAAGCAGCCAAAATCAGTAATTTTACACGTAAATACATCCATTTCCTTACGTACCAGAGTACCTCCTCACTGAATATATCTTGCCACATGAATTCTGTTTGTTACACACTAGTTGCAGTACAGATTTCAACACAGACCAAAAAAAGGCACTGGATATATGCTACGTGTTTAATGGAGAACTATGGGTAAATGGACTAAAAGTCTAATGGATTTTAGAATGCATACAGCACATTCATTCTAGAGTTTAATTTTATTCTTGTGTTAAGAACAGTGAATCTTGTATTGGTTTTCTTCTTCCTCTGTCAGTGCTGTAAATTTGCATGTGGCTAGCCATAGTTAACATTCAGTAACAACATTTGCATCAACAGCTAAAAACAAAACAGCACATCACTTGAATATTCATGGTATGAGTGATAATAAATGAACGTTACACTACATGTTATATGGGAAAACAGCACGTTTTGGGTTTATTTGTAGCATTCTACTGTTTGCTGTGGTATACTGTACCATCATCAACTGAGAAGTCTTACCATGAAGGCATCAGGTAGCACCACCTCAGCTTATGGGCTTTGAAAAAGAAGCCATGGAATATCAGAAGTTAGATACTGAGAGATGCTACTATATACACTTCTGTTTCAGTGGATTTTAGACCCCCCAAATCTGGAATAGGAAAACGGTAACTGGAAGCAGAATTATCTGCTTGGCTTTCATCATGCATAGAGTTTAACTGGAAGCAAATACCATTACGTTACCTTTGAACCTTCCTTAGGTTGCAACAACACGGGAGGAAATAAATCACTATTGTTACCTATAATATTTGCACTAAATTCTCCACCTGAGACCAATAAAGGTGTTTCCAATTACAGCCTCCTCAGCAGTCCAGTTCTCAGGAGTGGGCCAATAATCAAAACCTAACCCAAGAATGAAACCTACCTTTCCTTCTTCAATAAATCCCCTTCCATTACAGTCATGCTAACAGGCCTCTTCCGTTCCAGTGTCCCAGATTCATATTCATTCCCAGTGTGTGACAAGTGATTTGAATTGCAACAAATGCCCCAGATACATTGAAATCTTGATCTGAGAGAGAGACAGAAAGCACCCTAAGACACACATATACAAAACAGTGCCCCCACTGCAAAAGCTGTTGGAGGGTTACCTGTGTCAGGTTATCACAAACACAGAATCCTTTTAACTATGGCAAGAATTTACCTCCAGGGAAGAACCAGTCTGCATGCTGAATAATTGGCTCAATAACTGCTACCACATGGACTGAAGTTGCTGCTGCCATTTCAGCAAGGGATCTGCAGGAGAAATTTGTACAACACTTCATACAGAGTTCTAGCAAAGCAAGGAAATAATAATAGTAATTAATTCATATTACCCAAATGACAAATTATGCTAAACATGATGTATTAAGACTCCTAAGTACCACACACACAAAGAGCAGCTTCACACAAGATGAAATCTAGACTAATCAGTACATTCATAGCTTTTGAAAACACTTCTATAAAGATTTGTGCCTAAAAGGATCTGGAGGCACAGGTTGAAAGAACGTCTGAAGTAGTTTCTAGGCAAATAGTCTGTTGCTGTGAATAGTTGATATGATTTAAAACAAATTCTACAGCTTCAGGGAAGTTCTGTTTTGTAGCTTCCCTCAAACAACTTACCCTTCATTCTTTGCCCATAACAAGTTGGGGCCCAAGACTATGGCGACGTTACTGGGTGTCATTTTGTTAACATCACTGTTCTGTGCAAGCTTTGCTAAGAATTTGATTAAATACCTACAAGAGGGAAAGAAATAATTATCCTGCAGGAATTAAGAGCATTTCTTGTTGAAAGCAGCTAACAAAAAATTAAGGAACTCTTACAGACAGCTCCCAGTGAAAAAGAAATAAGACAAACAGCCTTCTTGCTTGGTAGCTGGCTACTAAGGTTCTGCTCTTGAATCATGAAAGTTGAACTGGGTAGAGAGAAAAGCATCTCCCTCCTTGGCAAAATGGAATTACAGAATGATTTTATTTTCACAAAAATCCCTACTCAACAGCTATTTTCATATCCTGTAATAGCACTCCCACTCTCATAGGACTCAGCAGAGTTGGTTTTGTTCAGATTCATTCCCAAAAGACAATAACCAAAAAGAAAAATAACATATGAAAGACACATCCAGGTGATTTCTGAGACTGGAAAATACAATGAAAAAGGACAGCTGGTGTAAAGACAGGGACTATTGCCAACAGCATGACCCTTTAGTAGGAGAGTTCTATGCATCACTACTTCATTACAGTCAACAGTGACGAAACCTGACTGAAAAAGCCTACTGCCACCAATGCACACCAACTGCTTGATCAAACAGGGTGTCCTTTTATAAACCTAACTGAATTTGGCAAAGAAAGACCCCCCTGGATTAGGGTTTTGGTTAAGCAGCTGTGAACTGGCGCACTCCAGCATCAAAGTGGCTGTGCTGCAAGTCAGTGGATGTTCATACACACCTGAAGTTCGCATGGTAATGCTTCGGTAATCTGTTACAAATTCTCCATAACTCCTGCAGCTTCTTATCCTGGTCCTGAATACTGAAAGGAAAAACAAACTCTGATCACATCTTACTTTCAGATCAGAAAATTGCTGTTTCTGAAGTGAACAAGGGTGACTGCACAACCTTCCATTTATGCCAAGGAAACACACTGGTTTGTATTCAGTAATTCGGCAACTTGCTAGTCAAACTCCTGAATTACCTCTTACTACAACGAAAGAGAACTGCTTAAGCATCAATTCTGTGCAGCCAACAGTCTGAAGCAGCCCTCATGTTTAACCACAGGTATCTCACCACGTTTTTCTGCAATTAGCATTAAGCTAAACCACATTGAAAATCATTTGTTACACAAAATATTTACCTGTTACAGCAGAAATAAGAAAGTAAACTGTGTGAGCTTGGTCTTTTCTTTGAATTCATATATGAAGAACCAAATTTGATAAGACTACGTAGAATGTTTTCCTATACACCTGGTTTTGGCATGCTTACTTTGCAGCTTGTGTCCATTCTTCATACAGACTGTACGTCATTAAAGGTTCTGGCAACTCTCGCAGATAGGATTTCAAGGCACCTGCAATGCAGAGCACAAAAAGGTAAGCTTCTTAGCCAGTACTTTCAGTCTTCATTCCAAATTCTGTCCTCAGATTTGCAATTTCATCTGTTCAATAGGACCCAAGTTCCAGTGAAACAGTGGGGTGACCTGACACTTCCCCAGTACATCTGCTCAATGCTTGACACAAAAGGTCTTCCAGGAATTACTGTAATTCGACAGAAACATGTACTGCAAAACTAGGAATCAGCTCTTCAGACCCCACTAAAGGTCTTCCTATGGCTCTAATCTCCCTTGATCACATTAACACTCTTGTGAGAGGAAATATACTAGGATTTCACCTGAATTTTAAACACCTCTGTCATGCAGACAGGAATGTACCAAGCACATGAGCATGCATACCCTAGACTTACCTATGTTAGTTGTGCAACGAAATGAACTTGCAGTTATTTCCATTCCTAGCTTATCTGCAGAGATCAATACCTTACACTGCAGCAAGGCAGCAGTTAAATCAACAGCATAAACTTGTGTTGTATCAGTTTATACCTGGTTTTGATTCAGAACATTCACAATACCTGCAACAGCATGGGGATCAGAATAGAACTCGTCAAGCTGGGAAGTTGAACAGTCCAAGGCAGCTTTCAGCTTTTTTAACTTGGAGGCTCCAGCAGCAATTCTGAATAAGCCCTGCATAATAAAAAATATATTTATTTGATGGGTAACAACAGGTTAGTACAAGCATGAAGCAGGAGGAGTTTTATGACAGCCTCTTCCAGAACAGTTCCAAGTTTGGTGTCTTCACCTTACACGGTTATGACCAAGCTGGCTCTTCATGTGTCACTGCCATATGGTAATGCTTTAGTTCCCTCTCACCCTTGGCCCATTCCTCATTTTTATTCTAGGTGCATTCATCTCAAAGATACTTCAAATAGTGCTGAAGGTTATTCTGTTCCAAAAGGTCTATTATCTACACTGATGAACAAAACGACTTAAGCAACTTGTTAACCAGTACAGACACCAGCCCACGAGTCTGCACTCTTTTCTCCCCATCCTTCACACATAGTATGGTATCACCTACCTCCTCTCTCATTCCCGTTTCCAAAAGCATCATTACACAGGCTTCAATGGGGACTGCAATTTCACGACCACTGCGCTTCAGATGCTCTTCTAATGGAGTTCCAAAAGCTGGTTTTTCAGTCCATTTGTCTAGTTGGAGAGTATCAAAACACTGAGCAAAGTATCTAACAAAGACTTGAATCATGTCCCAGACAAGAAAAGAAGAAAGTCTCCAGTACAGCAAAGAAATTATCAGAATACAGCAGGAGTTTTACAGCCCTTGATTGGTAAAGTCTCTTCTATCATGAGTAAAGAGAGAATGAGCCTGCTGGGGGTTAAGAAGAAATACTTCTGCATCTTTCAGGATGGAGTCACACACAAATCCTTTGGATGACTGGAAGAGCATGTCCCCCTCAACATTAAGTGCCATCACGTGGCTGCAAGTTACATTAACTTAAAGAGAATCTTTAGAGAAGAAATTTATCCAGGTTGCATGCCCTGCGCTGATCTCAGTTTCAGTTTTATTTAAGGTGGATAAAAACCGAGCTGTTCACACTAAGTTTATTGCCAATTTAAGGAATGGACAACTCAAAATGGACGTTAACAGCGCCATCTCTTATGTGAGCATTACCATGTTAACAGCCCATTGCTGTAATGCTTGCACAAATTTTCCATTTCTGAATCGTTGCTGAACTCTGAAAGTCAAAACTGGTTCAAGTTTCTCCTAATTGAATGTGAATTTCTTGTTTCCCACAATAGATTTTCTCCCATTTCTGCTGTCTTAATTGAAAAAATGCAGATGTAAAAGGTCAGTGTTAGTACAGATGTGTTATTTCTTTTATGTGGAAAAAAGGTTAAGAAAGGAAGACTTTGACAGAGTCCTCTGAGACACACTGCGTTCCTGCAGAGCATTCAATTTACCCACATCAACTACACCCCTCCTAAGGCTTTAGTTCCTCTCCTTCATTAACACACCACCAGGAGCATGTCATTTTCCCCAGTTTTGCAAGTTACAGCAAACATTAGGATGAGAAATCTTAGTAACTGCTGAGAGTCTCAGTAATTTACAGCTAGAAACACAACTGAAGCAGTGCCCTACCCTGAGACCCTGGACCACTCGGCCACTGTGACACCTATTCCACCTAAGAAGACTAATCTGTTCAAATGGGAAGTTTGCACAAAGCAGCTAAGAGACAACAACATTTAAAGCAGTCACATCTGTGACCACAGAACCTTGCAGAGGGCCGTAACACAGCCCTGATGCTGTGTGAGCATCATGTGTTTGCGTTACCTCGTCTCCCATCACTGGCAAAGCACAGATATTCTACAGCATCTTTCAGCAAGATGCTCATTAAGAGACAGTAGAGCCAGTGCTTAGGAGAGCAACTTCAACACCAAACCACTATGATACACCTGAACTCCCACGGACAATGTTTAGTAGCATGGGGAAGAACTGAAGCTTTTCTTAACTGCTGATACTCAACCCAATAATCCAGACACTCCAGTAGCTGCTTGTAGTGCAGTGTGTGCACTGAGAACCAGGAGTGCGTATGAGAAGGGAAAAAGTCCACCTCAGAACAAAGGGAGTTTTTCTGATAATCACCAAGTAATTCAAGAAGAAGGACCCAAAGAAGGTCCTAAATCACAATGAAACTTTCACTGGCCTGAAAAGCCAGGTATGAATCAGCAAAAGATCACATGGTGTCAAGGAAGAAGTGCAAGCAAATAGGGAAATCCTTCCTTCACCCTCTTGGGTATCAGACAGATCCTCAGGATTTTATTAGTGTGTTAAAATATGGCTGGAGAACTCCAGAGTACACAAAGATGGAATTATGCATGGGAATGTAAAATTGGTAAGTAGATCAAAATGGCCTTATTAAATAAGTCTGCATGCAAGAGAATCAAGATAAAGGAGGAGAATATTGTGCATAGGTGGCACAGGCAAGAGAAGCATCAGCCAGAGCACAGGTTACTTTACCTTGATGGGCTTGAATTTCAGGTAGGACCTTTTCTATGACTGCTAATGCTTTTCTATGGTAATCTGCTTGTGCTTCTAATAACTGAGAACAGAAGCCACATTTTAAAAACAAAAAGAGCATTAGCTTCTGATGAGCACATAATACAAGACTAGAAGGTTTAGCACACAAAATATAATCTTTGAGGATTGAATGTCTATGCACATATGTGCTGCAAAGTCAGATGGAAAAACTACTCACCATAACAAAACATCTGGCATATTCCCCTTCTTTGGACACAAAGTTATACATGTCTGCTGCTAGTTGATCCTTTGGAAAAGAGAAGAATGCAAAATAGGACATCAAATTTGCAGGGGCATTTCAACTTCTACAGCAAGACAGGAGTATGTATGGTTTTTTTGTCTGTGGTAAGTTTGAGCTATCAATTCAGCAGCACAGGAAGCCAGTAATCCTCCTACTCTGCTACATGCATTCTTCCAAGCAACATCAATTCAAAATGCCTGTTTCATACAGCAAAGCAGTTGCCCACTGAAGTAACAACTGGACTGTATGGCAGTATGCTATTTACAGCCAATCCCTGCAGACAAGTACTACTAAGAGGTTTTTGGGGTTCAGCTCAGCTGTATTTGACAAGCAAGAAGTAAAACTGAATGGCAACTGCTCAGAGCTGTCATAGACAGAATGTTCCTTTTATGGCAGCAGCTTGATTTCAGCCAGGTAGCTCATGCTGCACAGCTACTCAGTGACCTGAGCACACAGACACCCCCGAGTGTTTCAGTCAAGGCTGAGACACAGCTCTTCCTTCTCCTGTCTCAGACTGAAACAGAAAACAATGTAAGATGCCCATCTTAAATCAAGAAAGTTCCTCATTACATTAAAGCAATTCAGACACATCACCCAGCATTAATATACTTCATTAAAATTCTTCCCTGTGAGGGTGCTGAGGTGCTGGCACAGGGTGCCCAGAGAAGCTGTGGCTGCCCCATCCCTGGCAGTGTTCAAGGGCAGGTTGGACACAGGGGCTTGGAGCAACCTGCTCTAGTGGAAGGTGTCCCTGCCCGTGGCAGGGGTTGGAGCTGGATGGGCTTTAAGGTCCCCTCAACCCAAATCATTCTATGATATAATATACCTTTAAGACACACAGTTTATTAACAGCCACATAGTTTGTGACTGCAGTAATGAGCCAGCTCCATGTGCAAGGCTTCCAGGAGCAGCCCTGTTCTGATTGCCACTGCTGCTAATGAGAGGCGTGTGAAGGACAGAGATATCCTGTCATACCTTGCATTGTTCTACTTTATTTCCAGCTTCATCCATCTCTTCCTTTAGTGATTCTATTTTCGAAGGATGCACTTGAAAATTTGTTCCTGAAGTCTTGTGGGCTTGGTTATACCTGCGGAAGAAAAGCTTTGGTCAGCTGGTGAAGACAGATATTAAACAAGAAACTGCATTTATGGCTCCCTTGAAACTGGCTTCTTTTGACAGGAAACAAACCCACTAGTTTCAGAGTTTTTCCAGCAGAACTCAGGTGTTCACAACTCGCCATGTACAACATGCTGGCATAATTCAAAACAGCTACACGACTATGAAAATCCACAGGAAATCCTGCACTGGCCACAGTCTAACATGGCTGTTAACACATTGGAACTACCAATCCCAGGAATTGCTACTTAAATTACCCCCACAGTTTAAGAACATTTAAAGAGACTTAAGGGTAAGTTGGGCAAGGTAGGACCCTGCAGTGAGATGGTTCAATATAATGCTGTAACAGCACTTGGCATGGTTTCAAAATTAGACTCACATTATTTAAGTTGACAACTAAACTGAACCGGAAAGAAGCTGAGTTTTGAGCATTTTTCCAATTATATATAGGCATGTAAGAGCTCTAAAATCTCAGTTCTCTTTGGATCTAGTAGTTATGAGTCCTTTTTTGAGTCACTTAAATGTAAATTCACCTTTCTTCAGCAAAGTATCGACATGCACACAGGAGCACTTCAGAAGCAAATCCAGCATCAGGCCAGGTGCCATGAGGTGCCAACAAGACGTTCACATGAATGGAAAAGGATCTAGTAATTCAAATGATTTCTTACCTGCCTCTTGCAGAATCCCAGTCCAATACCAGCTTTGCGAGCTGTTTCCTCTGTTTCTGAATGTTCGGGATCTCTGTCTAGAAGAAGTCAAGGTTTACACTCACTTTTGTGTATTCTAATAAACTACAGTTTGTAGATTTCTTACCCCCATTCCACCACTAACGCATGACTCCTTAAAACAATTAGCAGTGAGATAAACCCTTTTTGCTGAGTCTGTACATAAATCCAGATGTATTCCTTCAGACAGGCTGAGGTGACTTACCTCTGTCAGCAGATACAGTGGGTCTAAGACTTCTTTCTCGATCTGTACTTCATGCTGAGAGAGCTCCATTGCCAGTTTGTTCTCTGCATCACCACATGTATCTAGCATTTTCCTTTACGAATTAGAGGAAAATTTAATGTGAGTTACGACTGACTAAAGAGGAATGAGTCAAACAAAACAGTGGTGGCCCTTTGTTGTCTGCTACCCTCTTGGAAAGCTGTGTGTTGCACAAGCAAGGCACTACTTAATGGCACAAACCCAAGATGCTCTATGCTGTCATGGGCAAATCTGGGATAGGCCAGGAGTGTTATTAAACCTCTGTCTTCTGAAATTCCTTAGCCATTACAACATTTGTGGAGGCTTTCACTCAGCCAGGTGACTACACCAGCCCTAAGGGCAGAGAAGTTTGTATTTTTTCAAAGCCCATCCTTCTGCCTCACCAGATGCAGGAAAATCTCTCAATGCAGCATTTCATTTTCTCCTAAGCCCCTTTAATGTGAAAAAGTCTTAACACCACCATGCCAAGCAGTCACATATGGAGCAGCCTCAGGTTCCAAAGCCATGATTGACCTTTGTTTTAAGCTTGTTCTAAGGAAAAGCCCCATCCTGTAAGGTTTTTATCCATGTTTACATCTCCTGCAAGAGCTCACAAAAATGCACACCGAGGTTTTTCAGGTCATTTTCCACTGTTTCCATAAGAATTCCCATCAGCAATGAGGAAACACATTTGCTCTAGGAATTCAGTATATTGACATTCATTTGTTTCAGCCACTTTCCTGGAAGTTGCAAACATGCACTTTGCCAGGAGAAGGAAACTGGCTTTATTTTGACCTAGAAGCTATTAATACAGACTGGCATTAAAGCCATTAATGCAAACCTGCAGAACGCAGTGTTTACTCTGAATTGAAAACTTTAAATGGCTACAACAACTCTACTAACCCACAAGGACATGAGCCATTCTCAAAAGCTTTTCAGAGAGCAGAGAACTGGAAACCTCTGGAATGCAAATCAGAGCAAGCCTTGCCCCCAGAATCACTCCCAAAGAAACACTTGCTCACTTTTTCTCCCCTTGGTTTAAAGAAGGAATCAAGAAATATTAGTTTCATTAGATTGAAAACAGCCTTTGTGCACCCAAAGTCTTTAATTAGAGCCCTGCAGGCAATAAATCACAGGCTGCAACTTATAAAGCCAAGCACTTACCCCAGCAGAGTTTCATCACTTAGCTGGACAGAGCCTTCTTGCATGTTTTGAGCAAGAGCTGTCAGAGGAAGTTTCTTCTGTGGAACAGAAGGAACAATGCTCAGCTTAGTGCTGCTCACCCTTTCCAGTTCTCCCAGTACATCCCCTCTAAGATTCTTCTCTTCTTCCGTATGGTTTCTATTACACACATGCACAACTCAATCTTTGACTTTAAGAAAACACCAAGTCACAAGAAGTTTCAAGCCACAAGACTCCTGTTCTCAGGTACTTTGAAAAGCATTTTCTTCTCAGTATTAGTCAGAGTGACTGGCCCAAAATGTACCTCAGCTACTGTCACAGACAACTAAACAGCTTTAACTTAAGACCTAAGCATCTAGCTTGGCATCTGCCTCCTTGCAGAGGTTCATCTTGTGTGTCCAGGGTGTCTCTACTGTTCAATAAAAGAAGAGTTGAATGCTAATTATTTCTGGTTATAAGACTTTACAAAAACCTACCTACAGCTTTGCTAAAGAGGGGCACAAATCAAACGTGTACAGGAAAACATTTACAGTTAACTGGAGATGCCAGCGCACAAAGGGAATTCAGACTATGAGGAGCTTGGTCAGAGTTGCAGAGTATCTGCTCTTCTTAGTGAGGTCTTGTGAACGTTGTAAGTACAGCTTTGAGTGAGTGTCCTGACACTGCTAAGGCACTCCAAGGCTGTGCTATTAATCTGGACAGGGAATTACAGGTAGTGTTTTACTATCTAACAACATGTGAGATGATTTTACAGCGTTTTCTCCCCTTGGACAATCGGAGGCACAGCAGCTGGTCAGTGTTCAGGCCAGATCATATTCAGACCAGTTTTAGAAGAGAAGCCAAAGGGCAATTGTACTTACATGTCTTTTATCAGGATCTGTACCATGCTGGCCCTGAAAACAGGCAATTAACCGCTTCTGTGCAATGTGGCAAACAGACCTCACAGTGTCAAGGCGTCTCTCGATCTAGTTGGTGCAGGGGGTAGAGAGGAGGAAGAGAAAACAAAACAGAAAACAGAAGTTATTTCCCTGGCCTCAGCAGAAAACTTCCTCCTGTCCCACACTTAGTTCTTGCATGTTTCTCAAGTTCTACAGCTTATGAGTTCAGCTGCTCAGCAGAAGTGCCCGACAGCAGAAATGCTTGGAAAGAGATTTAAATTGCTTTCTTTTCCCCTCATGGCACAGTAGATAAGTCAGAGCTCCCAACACTCACAGGACTCTGAAGAGTGGAAGAGGGAAAGAAATATTGCCCCTGCTTTTTGTCTCAGCAGAAGAGAATGAGGTTGGTACCTGCCATTGGAGATAACAGCACATGCAGATATCCAAGACACTAATTTAGGGAGGAAAACTGTGGGAAAACTCTCATTTCTTCATCATGTAAAGTAGAAGGCTAAAAACATATTTGACTACTGCTCTACACTGCACCAAACCTACGTGCTGCTTCCTATGGCGTTTCCTTCTCTGGCCATTAAATACAAGGACAAAGCTCCTACATGCTACAAAACAGTATTTTCAAGGAAAGAAGAATAGGATTCAAAAGGGATGTGGAATGAAGAAACCACACAGCAGTGCACAAACAAGAGTTCTGTTGATCACAGTGTATTTGAAACATGGCTCAATACATAGACTGTGAACATGACACAGACGATGTGACATTTATAAACTGTTCTTTTAAGGGATTTTAAGTATGGAATTTTGTCTCTTTTATTTCAAAGAACACCAAAAGCAAAGCAAGTGATGAGCACTGGGACAGAACTGCTTATGGCAGCGAGCTCCCCATGCACAGCTCCAAAAGAATGTGGTTTATCTGCATTTTGATGACTCACCAAGAATAACAGGAGGCCCTTTGGAATTGCTTCTAGTTAAAAAGCAAGGGGAAAAAGGAGATTTCATGTGTAGAAATAGCTGGAACCGCTTCTAGGTTTTGATAGAGCTCTAAAATCACTGCTCTTACACTTTCAGCAGGGCAGCAATTCTCCCCAGCTTTCCTATCAATCATAAATACAGATTAGGTGTCAGAGTAGCAATTTTAGTGCTAAGTTATGATGCCCCAGGGATCTAAAGCAGGAGATACATTGTTTGTTTCTCCAGGAGGCAGACTGCCATGTTCTAATGAACACGAAATGCTATAAATTCTCATTTAGAATGTGACATATCCAGGTGAGAATGACATTTTTTCCTCCCAACAGGTTTATCTGGTGCTGCTATGCTGGGATATGTATATCTCTAAAGTGGTTACCACTGGAAGGATGAAATTAGGTCCCAACAAGAGCAAAGAATAAAAACTGGAGCTGCTGAAAGAGAGAGAGATCCAAGAGAAGAGGAGCGTGCAGGGTGTGGGCTGGGAGAAGCTCAAGGGAGAAGATGCCAGTGGAGGGAGGCACAGAACACACAAGCCTTGCTGTGGATCAGCACAGCATCACTGCTGCTGGATGTGGGAGCCCTGTGCTGATGCACAAGCACATGCTGGCCTGGGCTCTCTGCTTCCTTTCAGAGGAGGGGAGCAGTAGCTCTGCAAAGCTGCAGCCTGAAGAAGCACCCAAAGCTGGACCTTGGGGCTGTGCCACCCAGCCACAGCCTTTGCAAGGCCAGAGGGAAGGTGAAAAAGAACCAGCACAGGAGGGCTGGTAAGCTGAAGGTGCAGCATAGAAAGGCTGGTGAGCTGAAGGTGCAGCATAGGAAGACTGAAGCTTCACTGGTTACATGAGGCACTAAAGGGACTAAAAGCTCCTGACAGCTAAAAGATGAATCCAAGCTGAGGTGCTCAAAAAGCTTAGTAAAAATCTATTAGAGCAGAGTAAGGTGCAGAGAAGCTCTTCTGAAAGCAAAAGGCATTGCCTTTTCTTTACAGAGCATGTGTCAACAAGCTCAGAATTCAGTCCATGTGAAGATACATGAAGAAGAATGTGCTGTTTGTGGTCTGTGTTTATTCTATTTATTCTTGCAAGGTCCCATAGTGAAGACTTCTTAAAATACTGAGCACAGTTGGGGTTTTTCACACCTGAAACAGGGACATCCTGTAACTGCACCATCTTACAGGCCCCAGCAGGCTAACACAGCCATGCACGGTGGCTTACACTCCTTTGAAAGCCTCTGGAGCACACATATTCCCAACAGCCTCTTCCAGGCAGCCTGAATGCCAAGCTCAAAGGGCAGAAGATTGATAGGAGGAACATGACCCCAAAACTTCACAATGTACTCTCCTTTCTGATCTGTTTTTCAGTTCAAAGATGTTAGAAGAACCATGAATGACATTAATCTCCACGAAGCTACCTTTGAAGTGAAAATGTGACCCACAGGCCACGCTGTCTGTACCCCCAGGGCATCTTCAGTGTACAAAACATCACACAATTGCTTTATTATATACCACAGGGGCATGCCAAAAAGTGGGTCTATTGTAGAAGCCTTTTGAGTACTGAATTATATTCCTTGTCTTCAGACAGGAACACATTTAACAGAGATACTTGAAATGGAGCATTGCACTCCAGAAAACAGAGAAAGAGACATGACAATCCTGTGTCAAAGCTGGAGCTAAATATAAAGAAGAACACAGTGAAACATGTTTGTAAAGCGAACAGTACCACGCTTCTCAGCCCTTTGGTTAGATAAGAGCCTTCCTCCCCTCCACAAGCCCCCAAGAGCAAACAAACAAGTGAGTAAATTCTTCCACTTGGGTGTAGCCGGGCTGCTCCGGGCCTGGGAAAGCCTTGCTTGCAAAATTCTTTTGGCAACACGCAGCAGTGCTTTTGGCTTTCACTTCTTGGTACTATTCTGCAGCTACTCAAGAACACAGATGGGTTCTCGGAGGCGATCGAGGTGTTTTAACATCCTTTACACCGTTTCACTGCACACATCTCTTCAGGGATTAAAGCCAGGATTGTCAAACTGGGGAGGTACTTGTGGTTCAAGTGAAGCAGCCCCCTGGAAGCAGGGCAAAGTGTTTTGGGTCAGCTCATTTCACCATTACTCAAGATGATTTCATGTGCTTGTGCTGAATTCAAGTTTTCAGGCTGCTGCATTCTCTCATCTGCTTAATCTGAACAGCTGGAAAAGGCTGAAGTAAAAAGTATTTGCATCATGTATTTGGCTTTTGTGCTTCATGTACAGGTCCTAAACTTCAGCATACCACGATGCTTCGTTATCTATTTGAAACAAGCATGACACTTGAGGTCCCACGGAGCACCCAGCCTGACCTCTGTGCCAGTGCATGTTCTGCCTCTTTATTTTTAGTCTTTCACAAAGTAACCAGAGGAAGAAAACTATGTAGACCAAGCCTGCAATCAGATTTGTTCTATGTAATGACTCAACCCTGTTAATCTAACAGTTGCAACTGAAATCCCACCATGGAAGTAGTGTATGATTAGATGGCATGCTTGCAAAAAGCTGACAAGTCTGCAAACACATCAAATGTCAGCGTGACAAATCTGAGAACAAGAATCACAAGCTAAACAAGCAGCATTTGCACACTTATTTAAAGCAATTCCAGACTTCCAGAGAAAAATCTATCAGCAAGCACTTGGCAAGGTTTTTTGCCACTTCTCTTAAGGCCCAAGTTGACCTCTTGAAGAGAAACAGAAATGAAGACAGAAACCAGCTGTGCCTGATCATCACTTCTTCCCAGCTCATCCTCCTCCAGCAGACAGACTGGCAAGTCATTAGCACTATTAGCTCATAAGCTTAATAAGACAGTTCAGCTAATTCAAAGCAAGACTCTTCCTCCTCCACTTTATCAGGCCATAGGATCAGATTCAGAAGCAGAAGTACCAGAGTTCTTCCACTCAAAGTGTATCATTGGTTTTGCATGTGCTAAGTCAGGCAAGGACCTCCTCGTTTTACTCCCCATTTGCAGTACTTTTCCCCCACATTAGGTACTCCACAAAACTCAGAGGGTTCAAACCTCACAAAAAGCAACTTAAAATGTGTAGATGAGGCCCTCAGTGATATACTTTAGTGGTGGTCTTGGCCGTCCTGGGGTAATGGTTGGACTGAATGACCTTAAAGGTCTTTTCCAACCTAGCTGATTCTATGAAGAGGCATACATATTAATTGTGTTACAATACCTGCAACAGGTCTTCACTGAGTACCTCTGTTTTCTCAGCCCTAGGGAGGGAAAAAAAAAAGACCATTGTCAGAGTGATTAGCACATTTGGGGTCAAAGGCTGAAAGCACTTTAGCAACAAAACCAGTTCAGCTTGAAGCTATAATCCCGTTATGACCATGGCTGCAAACAGCACCGTGTTCAGGATGGAGCACTGGCTCCCAGCCCCGGCACATCAAACACAGATGGCTTGCTCAGCACAGAGTGCCTGGGAAAGCCTGACATTCCCGGAATCCTCGGCCCACAGCACCATCCCACTGCTCCAAATGGTATTTCCAACTACACACGGTTTAACACAAAGCAAACTGGGATCCTGAGTTACTTCATTTGAATGCAAAGATGTACTGAAGCAATTTTTTCACTCTGTGTTCTAACCAGGTAGTGCTATCAATGCACCCGAGTGTAAGGGAACACAAAGACAGGAGAAAAAGTAGGGCAACCAGCTTCATCAACCAGCAGTCAGTGGAAATGGCAGCTTACATGCACACAACTGTCATCAGAAATCTCCCGTTACCTCATTTTGCTGATTTCTTTAATACTAAAGGAGGATAAAAGATTTATTGCATTAAACCATCATGAGAAGTTAATAGCATTCCCAGTAAAGGTCTAATCTCAACAGAAAAAACAGCTGAATACTTACACATGCTCCCAGACAAAACATTAACAGTTGTTACAAACAAACTCAAACATTCACACATACAATTCCACACCTTTTCCCAATCCCAGCTTGCACATAAACTTTGATTTGTTTAATGTTGACACAGATTTGTTTGGAGTTGACTCATTTGCTGTAACACTGCTTTATCCTGCCTTTGCCAGATCGATAAAGCAGAGCAAGATAAGTTTAGCTCACCCATGATCTCTCCCACTTGGCTGCTCACTGTTACTACACGTCGATGGCTATAGAGGCCTTGGAGGTACTCCAGCAGGCTGTTTTCCTGTTCAGTTTCCCCTGCTGCTGTCAGAGTTCCTCATCTCCTACACCAGCTTCCTTCTGATCCTGCAATCTGTGTAATAGCCTACTGCAAAGCTGGGCATGCACAGAAACCTCACCTTCTTGATCGGGCTTCATCAGCTGAACATGCAAAATGCCTCCAAAGACAGTATTGAGCCATGTGAAGTTTTAAGGCATTTGACTTCAATTTCATGGCACATAATCTGCTTGAACTGTTTATGACCCATAAGGTGTTTAATAATTAAATAGCAGAATACAGGAATGCTCAGAACCTCAGGAAGACAAAAGCTGTTTTGATACTTTGGTAGCAAATCAACTGCCAGAACTGCAATATTTATTTGTTTGGGAAACACAAGTTTGGTAAACTTCCACATAAATAGAAATATTGTGTCTGATCCAGAGTATATCCTGTTAGAGAGCAATTATAGCTATTTATTTACTTTTTAAGTCTTGCAAAACCCCACCAGAAATTACACAATGTAAGAATACTCCAGTTATAGCACATATGCTTAAAGAGGTTTTAATCTGAAGTGGCAACTACTACCCATAAGCTAACTGCTTCAACACAATACACAGCTACCAGATACTTCTGTAGGAACATAGTGCTGGGCATGGTAAGGGTTTTACACCCAATTCCTGAGCAGCCAGAGACTTCTGTCCTTCAACAGACTGCAGAGGATGAGCACCCCTGTTTCTAATGCTGCATTTGTGATGCGTATAAAAAGCACTGATTCAAGCACCGGTTGGGTAAAATCCCATCCCAACGGAGGCAGCAACTGTATACCAGGATCAAGAGGCTGCAGATGAAGAGGTGCAGCCCTGTGAAGGAAGCAACTGAGCAGACCACAGCTACCTGCTATTAGCTCCCTGAAGTACAGCTCAAGGTGTCTTCTGCAAAACCAGGGACTTCTTTCAGCAACAGATGCAGCTGGTTATAAATAAACCAGATACTGGGAATTGTTTCACTGATGTTTCAGAACAGGTCCTGGCAGCTCCAGCCATATGAAGGTTCTCTGGTTAAAGCAATTGGCACGTAGCAGAATATTAGTGTGCCCCCCCAGCCACTGCCAGTGGCTCAGGCTTGCCAGGTCCCTTGGAAAAGCAGCAGGACAGCAGCAGTGCCACGCACACAGCATACAGGGATTATCCATTCTAACAGACCACAGCAACAGAGAAGCAACCACCTTCTCCACCTTCATGTATACGGTTTGGGTTGGAAGGGACCTTAAAGCTCCTCCAGCTCCAACCCCTGCCCCGGGCAGGGACACCTTCCACTAGAGCAGGTTGCTCCAAGCCCCTGTGTCCAACCTGGCCTTGAACACTGCCA